TCCAGCGGTTCTCAGAGGTGGCACACCTCTGTGGGTCTCCACTGCCACAAAGGGTCCCCCCAGCACATTCACTTCCCCACCCTGGAAACTAGGGGATCCCAGCCTCAGACCTCAGCCCCGTTCAGAGTCGGTGCCCACACACAAAGGCGGTCTCCACAAGGCGTGCAGAATGACTGGGCACAGATAAGGGTGTTACCACACTTGGGACAAAGCACTCAGTGAGAAAGCCCTTCCTGTGAAAATGCAGGGCCTTAGTCATACAACAGTGGCTGGGGTTGGGGGTGCCTTTGCATTTTATCTGCCCACCCCCTTCCTCCGTGCCTTTAGCCACGGCAGTGCCATGGCGGAGAGGTGGGCAGCAGCTACTGGCACAGCTGGACCAGGAAGGCGGGTGTGCGGTGTCCAGTCAGCCCCGGGAGTGTGACCTGGCCCACCTCCAGGCCTGCCTCAGGCCTTGGGCCGGCAGTCTCCGCCTGGGCAGCACCATCGGCTTGGCCATCGGACGGCCTGGCCAACACGTAACCGGGACGTTATTCTCTCTCACCCGTAATTTTCTGATGACTCGGCTGATCTGCCTGAGCCTTAAGCACAATCAGTGGCCAAGGGCCCACCCGTGGAAGGGAGTGACTGCCTGGATCACGCAGGAGTGATGGAAATCACTGACAGGGAGCGGCTACTTAAGCTCACGGCAACCTGCGGCTACGTGGCCCTCGGCAAGTAAAGAACTCAGAAGGCTCCCACCACCCCAGCCATAGAAAAGCTCAAAACACATGATTTGGAGCACCTTAAAGTTATGCAATTAGAAGGCTGCATTTCACATCTTGTAAAACTTTGCCAAGCTGGTATAAACAGGATGGCCAGTCTTAATAAAAACTAATTTTTGTCCATTTTAAAGGCATTTTTATTGAGCTCATATCATAGATAAGAACAGGTACTAGCATACAACGTGCTGTTCAGTAACAGTCACCCTGACCTTAAACACACACAGGACTGTCCAGTGAGCATGACATTTAATACATGGGCTTAACTGCTACATCTTGTAACACCTTCAATTTATCAAGATGTTATAAAAATGCAACATATTTGAGAAAGGTTTACTTACGGAAGCAGTGATTTTCAACCTTTTTCATCTCATGGCACACATAAACTAATTGCTGACATTCTGCAGCACACCACAAAGCATACTTCTTGCCTATCTGACAAAATATAGGTATAACTTAGATTCATTCACGCTGGATGGCTATCGTTGTGTTGGCTCTTGTCATTTTTTTTTTGCTTGATAATCTAAGGGAAAAGAGGCCAGTGGCCCTGACTAAATAGTCAGGTATTGCATGTTTTAAAAATGCTTGTGGCTCACCGGTTGAAAGTCGCTGTTCTGGAATGCATGGCAATGTTCTGAGTCTGTACACAGTGGGACCGACACGAACCATGTGATTTACAGTAAGTTCCAAAAGGATGATGACAGAATTTTCCTTGTACTTCTCAATATTTTCTCTAACTTAAATGTTCAGTGGTGAGCGGCCAAGTTCAAAGCAAACAAACAAACAAAAAAACCAGTGGCCATTCTAAATTTAGGATATTTGATCAAAATTTCTTGCCATTTTGCTTTTGCCTTGGTCTTGCTCCTCTGCTGCTTGTCCTAATGACATCTGGCTTTCTAACGCTTAACTGTGGAAACAAAACACATCCACGCTGTAACCTGAGCTGAGGGTTGAGAGAACCGTAGGTCGCACAGGAGGCTCTCGGGGAGCTAGGCCCCAAACACCCAGGCCCCTCTGGACAGCGCCCTTTGTCCTGGACCCACAGTGAGCAGGTGCCCCCAAAGGTCTACAGGTTATGATGCTGTCACCATTCCCAGTCACAGGTCCCACCTGGCACAATCCTCTTTGTTGTATTGAGCAAGATGCTGTTTTCCTAGGATTGCTGGCTCTGAAACGGATTTCTTTTTAGGAAGCCCCACTAAAAGCTGCGGCTCGTTTTATTTCCTGAGGGATGACAGTCTCCTGCCACGGAACATCCCAAGGATGCTGTCGTGGTGGACGGCTGTCTAGTCCTATCAGCTGGAGGGTAAGGCGACGCCCCAGGAAACGAGGCTCGCTCCCTGCACCCCCCCCTGCCCCCTCAGTCAGGCATCTCTGCCCGAGACAGTATCCGCGAGTTCATGCACTTCGTACGAAGACAGCACCCTCAAAACGCCTTTTAAAGCAACAATTCACCTCCCAAAACCAATAGTTTGTAATTTTCATAGTCATGGACAACTTTTGAGTCTAGTGTTAAGAAAAATAATAGATTTTGATGTCTCAAAATACCAAGTTGAATTAAAGTCTGAAATTACCTAAAGTGTTGAGTGTAAAGAATTTGCTGTCCATGTTTTTTAAAGGAAAATATTTTAACAATAGTTGCCACAGTCTTATTTTCTTCTGCAGGAGAAGTATTTTTAATGTTAGAGAAGTCACTAATGCACAGTGGGAGCCAAGGGTGAACCATTATAAAGCAAAGCTACAAACTTTTATGGTTTTACCACTATCTCTAAAACATACTTTAAACATTGAAGCTAAAAATGATTTCTATACATGTTTATAGACATGTTTTTAAATCTGCCTTTTCAAGCCAGCCCCTGTCTAAAATTCTACAAAATGCCAACAGAGGAGAGCCCTTTACAAGGAAAATATACAGTTAACTGGCGGCTACATTAATTCACAAAGCTGCAATCCCACAAAAATGGTCCTACACAGCATTTAAAGTCCAACACTTTACATTTTAGAATAAAAGTGAATGCATCACCTCTCCTCTCACAGCGTTTCCTGCGCCTCCTCTTACACCGGCGTCCCGTGGTGCTGAAGGGGGCCCCCATGGAGGAAGTCCCAGGGCCGAGCGAGGCCATGCAGCCGAGCCACGGCCAGCAGCCAGCCCCGGCTCATCCCGCGCCCCTCTCCCTGCGAACGCCTCAGCCGTGCTGCTGAGGCGACAGCGGCCAGCCCTCTGCCAGCACGTGGGGCCGCTCCTCCTCAGCCGGGGCTCATTCATCAGACCGCAGACTCGGGGCTCTCTCGCCAGCACCACAGTGCCGCCCAGAGTGACATGTGACAGTTAACCCTTCAGGGCTATCACGGACACAACACTGTGAGCAGGGAGGAAAGATGTGCCAGGGATGCTTTCCAGGGAAATGGGGGTCCCCCAAGTCCTGTTAAGTGAAACATTTCTGTCATCCTTATAAGAGACAGTGCCTGAAATAAGGGCACAAAAGTGTAAGAGGGCACACTTCACAAAACAGCCTGTGCAGTTGCAGCTGCCACACCCCCGCACAGAGCCAGCCAGAGTCCAGAGGCACCACTGACCACGGGGCACTGAGGCGGACTCACACAGGCCTGTGCCCACTGGCCCGCCTGCCCCTGGATCACTCTCCCACCTCTGTTCCCAGGTGCCGGTCCCGTTGCTGGCCCTTCGCCACAGTGCCGGACACGGCCCCCACCCCAAACCAAGCTCCTGACGAGGAAGCAGACCCGACCCCCTCACCCTGGCTACCCGGCCTGGGGGGTGGCAGCATAGCTGGTGCGACTAGCCCGGCAGCGGGGCCCACATGCCATGTGCACACACGCACACGTGCACTCATGAAGGTGTGCACATGCACACACCTCACAGCACATGGTGCCTATAGCTTTGGCTCCTCACATCCTCTGGTCCAGGCAGATGCTCTCCCTGTGGATCAGGGGCCAGGTCAGTATTGTAGACTTTGTAGCCATATGTCCCAACGGCTGTCCTGTCGCTTACAAATTCAACGAGGCTAGCGTGGCCTTGGGTTGAGAGGGGAGACAAGCTTCTGGCAAAGGCCGCCATTGTGTCCAGATGGATTCCTTCAGCAAGCAAAAAACACCTTTTTTCTTACAGCATCTAAGCTTGTGACCTAGGCTCAGGGGCAACAGTGACGCCCCACAGTGCTGGGACAGGCCTGTGCCGCGAGCCCCGCAGACCACCCCATGAAGCCCCCAGGGGCTCGGCCCTTGTGGGACCGAGCCTATGGCCACCCTCAGGGAGGAGGAGGAGGAGAAGGTGGGGCCGAGCGGAGCCCGGAACCAGGCTCCTATGAGACCCCGGGGGGACCCGGGAGCAGAACAAAGAAACAGAGGCCTACAGAGGTGGGGAGAGGGGCCGGTGTGTAGCCCTGGGGCGTCAGGTCCTGCTGGTACCTGCACGGCCAGTGCCACGGCGGGTGGAGCTCCCTCAGCCCCGCGGCCATGGGCTGGATGCCTTCTCCTGCTGCTGCTGCTGTGCTTTTACTGCGCCCCCAAAGGCTTGGCCTGAGGTGTCCATGATGCCCCATTTTGGTAAAAGCAGCACCTGAACAACACCAAATAACGCCTTCTCTCTGCAGTCTGACATGCTACACTTTGCCATAGGTCTCTAACACAGGATTTCAAAGGCAACCACAGGAGTCAGAATCAAAAGACCACGAAGGAGACTATCGAAAAGGAAAACATAAACATTCTCACTTATTTCAAGTAAGATACAAGAAAACCTGTTTTAGAATGCAGTCACTTACTGCATTTAAAAACTGTGTTTGGGGATTTCCGTGGGTTTCTTTATTACATATTCCCTTGTCATGCACCAAAGCAAGTTATATGCTTAACCATGAACATGGCCACGCACTGTGCCTAACCAGGCTGAAGTCAAAGGGTGAGCCGGGAGCTCAGTTCTGCAGCGGGGAGCTAGCTCACTGGGAAGAGCCTGCGACATCAGGGTCTCCAGCCTCTGAGACGATGAGACTGGAGCATGCAGCTGCCAAGACTGGTCCCAGGGGTCTCCTCACAGGGACCGAACCAAGGAAGAAACAATTTGAGGAATGGATGCAGAACTTCCAGAGCATTCTTCTCCAGGCGAAAGAGTTTAATACCTCCAGAGTCCTGTGCAGTTCAGAGCAAAACAAACATGGATTTAAAAAAAATAGGGTAGATGCTGAAAAGTTGTCTGGATTCCAGATCCGCCCCCCCCCCTTTTTTTTAACCACTCAGACCACATTCCCTTCCTCTTACTCTTCCAGCGGAAGAGAAGAATGATTGTCAATGGTTATTGGCAATTACAAAAGCAACACCAAAAGCCAGCCTCACGCTCAGGAGAGAATGCTGCACCTCTTCCTCACAGTTTTGCATGCTCCACACGTTCAACGAAACTTCTCTAGTAACGAACTATAGAAATGATCCCTGAAAGTATAGTCTTGGATTCTACATTCTTTATGATGAAATTATTCTGGGGAAAATAATGCTTAAATAAGTCAGAGAAAAATAAGGAACATTCCCAGCTGCTGGAGACACTCACATTTAAGAAAAAAAAATAAACCTCCATGATCTCTCTGCATGAGAACTTCATTTGGGTTTGGCTCCACCAGGAAGCTGAGCGCAGTTTCTCGTTTACCCTCCACTTGGGAAGAGGTGGCCAAGAGGCCAGGCCACTCTTGGGAGCTGGCTGTGCTCTCTGCACCCCCGGCCCCACAGGGATGGTCCTCGGCGAGGCCACCACCAGCTGAGACCACGTTGCCATGGGTGACATCACAGCTTTCCTGTCCACTTCTTTGAAATGAGAAGATTATAATTTCTCCACCTCCTTCATAACCCTGAACTAAAAGGTACGAAACAGTTGACATCAAGACATATCACAATTTATAACCAGTGTATTCGTAAAAAGAAAACTTGGCAAAGCACACGTAAACCTGATGGCCAGGGAGTGGTGACAATGGCTGCCTGGCCCGACTCAAGGGCCCGCCCGCCCCGGCACGGGCAGAGAGTCGGCCACACCAGCACCCGGGCAGAGAGTCGGCCACACCAGCACCCGTGCAGGCCCGACACGACCAACACCCGCTGACCCTGCGCAGCTTCTCAGGAACCCATCAAAGAAGATGCTGCTTGCAGTGAAGTTAACACTTCGCAAGAGAGGTGCTGTCAGTAAAAATTAACCTGGGGGGTTACAGCTGATGTTGCAAAAGATGTAAAGATGATAGGAGGCCCTCTGCTGGGTCATCCTGCCATCTGTGCGTCTGTCCTGGGGTAGGTGCACCATGTCATCGGTGGAGGCAGCTGCTCCAGCTGTGCCTCCTTAGAGTCTGTATTTGCCTATTTGGCATCCAATCCTCACAGGCAGACTATATTAACGATGTTTTCTTTTTCTAGGTGCTCTGCCACCCCGGGGCCTTACAGACCTGGAGAGACCACACTTCCCAGGGCTAACCATTCCTAGGGGCCACAGCGGGCTCAGCCAGGAGGGGCCGCGGGCCCTTCTTATCCAACTCCCATGTGCCACGCCCATGTTTCCCCTGCCCTAAATCAAGCTGGGCCAGGTAGGTACCAGGCACCTAGGGACCACCTTTATAGCTCAAAGACCACCAGGATTATTCAAGCTGCCCAACCCCACGCTTTTACGTGGCCCTGCCTCTCCCGTAGAGGCCCCAGTGAACATCTCCGGTCCAGGCCTTCCCCATCATTCTGTTCTGCTTCCTGACCAAACCCAGTGCTCCTGTGTGTGCAGGGAAATGTAAGTGATCAAGGCTTCTTTCAGTGGCCTTGGCCTCTCCCTGGTGTCACTCAGGCACCTCCATGAGAGCTGCAGCTCCCAGGGTACAAATGAGACCTCAGTACAGTTCTTTAGACTTGTTAGGCTTGATAATGCCAAGTCTACTTAGGTTGCATGTAATCGTCTGTATACAGAGGCGAGCGAGTGTCCTATCACGCTATGCAATCCTACTTGACATTTGCTCTACCCTAATAAGTTAGATAAAAATGCCAGTTACATATACTTTGCTTTCATTTCATAAAGTGATCGTTTCTTTTTCCCTCATCAAATGACACCCCCCCAATGCACAGTAAATCTTCCAAACATAATAAATGCCGTATTTTTTGCTTTCTTGACAATCGGAGTAATTCAGACCCCGCAGCAGGATGAGGCGCGCTTGTGCACCGTGGCCTGGAGACAGCCCTGCCGCAGCATCCGCTCTGACTGCAGACATTTATTTTAGTCATTGCCCAGAAAGTCACCAGAGCTAAAGTAATGTCCTAACTCTGCATCTATCATTTTCCTCTTCCCCCCCTTCCCGAGCCTTGCTTCTACCTCCAGGACTATTTCAGAGGAACGTAAAAATAGAAGCCTGCGTTCGGGAGGGTCGAGAGATTCACAGCAGAGCAGCGATAATTTAACACAGCAGATCTGGTTTCTGTGACCATTAAATTGACAGTTTATAATTGAAAAAAATACTTTAACGCTCTTTTTTCCCACTTTAGAAGTATATCAATTTCCGACTTCAGCTGTCATGTCTTTGCAAGTTAATAACTACTGAATTCTAGGAGAATGTCATAAATAGCCACACGCCATTTAGCATCTGACAATCCTGGTATCTAATTAATTTTATTTTTATCTATGTCCTCAGAGTAAAGTCTCCAAAATTTAATGTTCCTAGAATATTAATTTAGGATAAAACTCTTAAAAACTATTTTTCCACTCTTACCAGAAGAGAAAAAAAAAGTTTATTCCATTAAAATTCTGAACTCTCTAAACGAGTCATTCATTAATTATTTACATATAATCAACACATGGGAAATTATAACATTATTTAATTTAATATTAAAGTACCCCAGCTCTGGCCGGGTGGCTCAGTTCGTTGGCGTGTCATCCTGCACACCAAAAGGTTGCAGGTTCAATCCCCAGTCAGGGCTCATGCCTAGGTGGTGGGTTTGATCCTTGGTTGGGGTACGTCCAGGGGGCAACCAATTGATGTTTCTCTCTCACATCAATGTTTCTCTCTCCCTCTCTCCCTTCCTCTCTCTCTAAATCAATAAACATATCCTCAGGTGAGGATTAAAAATAATAATAATAACACAAAGTACCCCATAAATACCTGTTAATAAGAAACACAGCCAACACTCATTCATTCATGTCACTAACAGCGGGTGGACCCCTCTGCATGCCAGGCTGGTTCCCAGTGCCTGGGGCGTGTCGGGGAGCAAAAGGGCAGTGAGGCCTCTCTTCAGGAGCCTACATTCTAAGGAGGACAAGAAGGATGACCAACAGCGCACCTACGCAACGAAATGACCTGGGGCGCATGTCTGAGGAGACAGGTGCCGCCAGGGAGAATGGTGGGCAGGAGGCAGTGGAGGTGGGTTTCGCATTTTGAGGGAAGCCACAAGGAAACGGACATGAAGGCAGTACGGCCACAGATGGGACACCGGGAAGAGCATCCTTAGAACCCAGGAGGGCCACGCCCCTGAGCAGCGCAGCCATCCCAGGAACAGCCAGGAGCCGGGGTGGAAAAGGCGAAGGCTGAGAGGTCCTGGAGGGTCAGTTCATGGAGCCTCCTGGGCCAGCACAGGATGTGGCAGTCACTCTGCCCTGGAGTTTTAAATTGCTTCTGGCCTTGGGTCCCTGGGGAAGAAGAGCGTCCCCATGGGGACAGGGCTGACTGGTTGGGAGCTCCGTACAGACAGGGCCGGTGGCTCAGAGCACTGAAGGCGGTGGAGAAGGTGAGAAATAACCTGACTCTGGATGTATGCTGACAACTTCCCCGGTGGCTTAGGTGAGTGGCGGGAGAGAAAGCGTGGCCCTGGCTTAGGGGCTGAGAGGCTGAAGGATGGGGCCGCCGAGACAGGAACGGCCAGGGGCTGCGGGACCAGGAGCTGGGTTTTCCATCTGAGTTTGGAGGTATCTGTGAATCCCCAAAAGAAGAGGCTGTGGACCCAGGTCTGAGTCTGGACAAAATGAGGACTCTCTGGGCATGGGGACTCACCGATGCAGAGGTGAGAGGGATGGGATTCCCGAGTCATGAGTCACCGAGTCACGGGCACAGACAGTGCCAGGAGGTGCGCCAGGAGGTGCACCGGGAAGTGCGCCACTGCTGGGAGGTTAGGAGGGGAGGGATGGGCAGGGAGCTGGTGAGGGAGCCGCCACGGGGCACAGCGTGCGGTGTGAGTTTAAAGTGGCCTGCCAATCACGACACACATATTAGCTTACTCAGACTTCACCGAGTCTCAGTAAAGGAGACACTGAGGTGACTGCACCACAGGCAGACCGGACACGGCCACTGCGTCTTACCACATTCCAGCCTCCAGGAGTGGAGCCGTGCCATGCACCACCGTGGGCATGACTGTGCAGCGGGGCACCAGCACTGACCCCAGGCAGGTCCCCCTGGTGCAACGTCTGCTCGGCCTCCACCGAGAAAGTTCCTACCGTCATGGCTCCTCAGAGTCCTGATCTGTACAACACGGATGGTGGTCACAGCACAGATCCTAGCCTTGCGGGACAGTCGGGTGACAACACGGTCGCCACCTGGGCTTTAGCTGCTGTCATATCATCAGCACCATCACTTTATGAGGGTGAGTCCGGCAGCTAGCGAGGCTGGGTAGCTTGTCCAAGGTCACACCCCGGGGAAGCAGCAGAATCTGGGACCCTCCACACTCTTCCCTCTCCTACATGGCTGCCCAATGAAAGCAAATACGCGACTACTCAGGTTTACTTTTTTTAGTATGTTAAGATTCCTCAAAACTTTTTAAAGTCAAAATAACATGTGCATTTCTTTAACACAGTTCTGTTTTCCATATTAAGATGGTTTCAAATAGACTAGGATGAGTCTAGTCTTCAGTCTACTTGCAACATTCCTCCACTCAAGGTCATGAAATTCAATTAAGCTTCTTTCATTCTTAAGGTGACTTTATCAAGGAATTTTGGATTACAATCAAAATCTACATTTCTCAAATAAGTATTGCAGGTATTAGGTTTAGGAAACAAAAAGAAGGAGGGGGGGGGGGAAGGCCCTTAATTTGAAGGCCCTTTAATTAGTTCCAATAGCCTAAAGTGACCAGAAATGAGAAAGCAGTCACAGACCGTGGCAGGCAGATGGCTCAGGTGGCCCACAGACAGCTATGGTGGCCCACAGATGGCTCAGGGGCCCACAGATGGCTCAGGGGCCCACAGATAGCTCGGGTGGCCCACAGATGGCTCGGGTGGCCCACAGATGGCTTGGGTGGCCCACAGATGGCTCAGGGGCCCACAGATGGCTCAGGGGCCCAGGGATGGCTCGGTTGGCCCACAGATGGCTCAGGGGCTCACAGATGGTTCGAGTGGCCCACAGATGGCTATGGTGGCCCACAGATGGCTCAGGTGGCCCACAGACGGCTCAGGTGGCCCACAGACAGCTATGGTGGCCCACAGATAGCTATGGTGGCCCACAGATGGCTCAG